CGTCCTAAGTAAACAAGATGCATAAACATGATAAACATCACATGCAATCAAATAGTGACATGATATGGCCAATATCATTTTGCTCCTTTTAATCTTCATCTTCGGGGCTCCATGATCATCATCGTCACCGGCATGACACCATGATCTCCATCATCGTGTCTTCATGAAGTTGTCACGCCAACGACTACTTCTACTTCTATGACTAATGCGTTTAGCAATAAAGTAAAGTAGTTTACATGGCGTTCTTTAATGACACGCAGGTCATACAAAAAATAAAGACAACTCCTATGGCTCCTGCCGGTTGTCATACTCATCGACATGCAAGTCGTGAATCCTATTACAAGAACATGATCAATCTCATACATCACATATCATTCATCACATTCTTCTGGCCATATCACATCACATAGCATACCCTGCAAAAACAAGTTAGACGTCCTCTAATTGTTGTTTGCATGTTTTACGTGGCTGCTATGGGTTTCTAGCAAGAACGTTTCTTACCTATGCAAAACCACAACGTGATATGCCAATTGCTATTTACCCTTCATAAGGACCCTTTTCATCGAATCCGTTCCAACTAAAGTGGGAGAGACTGGCACCCACTAGCCACCTTATGCACCAAGTGCATGTCAATCGGTGGAACCTGTCTCACGTAAGAGTACGTGTAAGGTCGGTCCGGGCCGCTTCATCCCACAATACCGTCGAAACAAGATTGGACTAGTAACGGTAAGCATATTGAACAACATCAACGCCCACAACTACTTTGTGTTCTACTCGTGCAAAGAATCTATGCAATAGACCTAGCTCATGATGCCACTGTTGGGGAACGTAGCAGAAATTCAAAATTTTCCTACGCGTCACCAAGATCTATCTATGGAGAAACCAGCTACGAGTAGAAGGAGAGTGCATCTACATACCCTTGTAGATCGCTAAGCGGAAGCGTTCAAGTGAACGGGGTTGATGGAGTCGTACTCGTCGTGATTCAAATCACCGATGATCAAGTGCCGAACGGACGGCACCTCCGCGTTCAACACATGTACAGCCCGGTGACGTCTCCCACGCCTTGATCCAGCAAGGAGAGAGGGAGAGGTTGAGGAAGACTCCATCCAGCAGCAGCACAACGGCGTGGTGGTGATGGAGGAGCGTGGCAATCCTGCAGGGCTTCGCCAAGCACCTACGGGAGATGAGGAGGTGTCACGGGAGGGAGGGAGGCGCCAAGGGCTCAGGTATGGATGCCCTCCCTCCCCTCCACTATATATAGGGGCAAGGGAGAGGGGGGAGGCGCAGCCTTGCCCCTTCCTCCAAGAAAGGGGTGCGGCTAAGAGGGGGGGAGGAGTCCATCCTCCCCAAGGCACCTCGGAGGTGCCTTCCCCCTTGAGGACTCTCCCCTTTTTGCTATATCTTGGTGCATGGGCCTCTAGGGGCTGGTGCCCTTGGCCCATGTAGGCCAAGGCGCACCCCCTACAGCCCATGTGGCCCCCGGGGCAGGTGGCCCCACCCGGTGGGCCCCCGGGACCCTTCCGGTGGTCCCGGTACAATACCGATGACCCCGAAACTTGTCCCGATGGCCGAAACAGGACTTCCCATATATAAATCTTTACCTCCGGACCATTCCGGAACTCCTCGTGACGTCCGGGATCTCATCCAGGACTCCGAACAACATTCGGTAACCACATACAAGCTTCCTTTATAACCCTAGCGTCATCGAACCTTAAGTGTGTAGACCCTACGGGTTCGGGAGACATGCAGACATGACCGAGACGTTCTCCGGTCAATAACCAACAGCGGGATCTGGATACCCATGTTGGCTCCCACATGTTCCATGATGATCTCATCGGATGAACCACGATGTCAAGGACTCAATCGATCCCGTATACAATTCCCTTTGTCTAGCGGTATTTCACTTGCCCGAGATTCGATCGTCGGTATACCGATACCTTGTTCAATCTCGTTACCGGCAAGTCTCTTTACTCGTTCCGTAACACATCATCCCGTGATCAACCCCTTGGTCACATTGTGCACATTATGATGATGTCCTACCGAGTGGGCCCAGAGAAACCTCTCCGTTTACACGGAGTGAAAAATCCCAGTCTCGATCCGCATAAAACAATAGATACTTTCGGAGATACCTGTAGTGAACCTTTATAGTCACCCAGTTACGTTGTGACGTTTGATACACCCAAAGCACTCCTACGGTATCCAGGAGTTACACGCTCTCATGGTCAAAGGAAGAGATACTTGACATTGGCAAAGCTCTAGCAAACGAACTACACGATCTTTGTGCTAGTCTTAGGATTGGGTCTTGTCCATCACATCATTCTCCTAATGATGTGATCCCGTTATCAACGACATCCAATGTCCATAGCCAGGAAACCATGACTATCTGTTGATCACAACGAGCTAGTCAACTAGAGGCTCACTAGGGACATATTGTGGTCTATGTATTCACACGTGTATTACGATTTCCGGATAATACAGTTATAGCATGAATAAAAGACTATTATCATGAACAAAGAAATATAATAATAACACTTTTATTATTGCCTCTAGGGCATATTTCCAACAGACCTATCCAAACCCACTTTTATCATAAGATTGAACGCTCTCCGAATATGTGGGATTACTTTTACCTAAAGTTGACACTCTTCCAAACCCACTTTCAATATTATTGCAAACATTATTATCAATAACATATTCATCATGATGACTAAATAAATTTTCAAGATCATGAGAAACATTATCACCCCAATCATGATCATTGCAATAAGTAGTGGACATAACAAAATTATCATCCCCAAGCTTGTAGCTTTGCATATCATTAGCACAATTGAAGAAAAAAATAGAATTTATAATAACATCATTGCAATCATGATTTTCATTTAAGGAGCTATCGTGAATCCCTTTAAAAATTTCTTCTTTTAACACTTCATCACAACTTTCAGATTCACGATGGGAGCAGTCCTTCATGATCACAACGGCATGTCCACTGCTGCCGCAAACGAAAAATAGACATATGCTTTGTTTCATTTACAACAGAGTCTATTGCGGTAAGATCTGGAATGAATCTAGCCCGTACTGCTGGATGTAACAAGACTAAAATCAACTCCGATAGTATAGAGGTGGTTGATGCTCTAAAGAAGGCAACTCTTCTTCAATTGCTAGTGCTATATTCAATGATTGTTATTTCATGTCATTGGATTTCAATCATGTCATTTATGAACATTGTAATAGAGAGAGCAATCAAGTAGCTCACGAATTGGCTAGGTTAGCCAAATTTTCTCCCCCTAGTTGTAGGATGGATACTAGTTCTAATGCGGTTATTCCCTTTATTGTAAGCGATGCCACTATTTTGATCAATGAATAAATGAGGAGATAGTTGTAAAGAACAAAGAGAAGTTCGAAAGATTTCGCCCCGGCGCTTCACACCATGGGAACTATCCACTGGTTAGCAATCTCTCAAGGTGCCTTGCCGCTCAAGCTTGAGCGAACAAAGCTTTGCCCCTATAATAGATAGACAGTTAGGCGGGGTTAGGGGCTGTGAGTTAGGACCATATTCTTCGATTAGCAGCGTTGCATTCCATCCCAACTTTCCCACCGGAACCGCCAGAATAGTCCAACATTCCAAAACAGCCACTATTTATCTCCACCGGCTGCCGGAAAAGGCAGAGCTACTAGCTAAGCTAGGTACAAGAACAGAATAAACACATGGTGCTTCAGCACCAAGAATCCCCAGGCCGCACATTGCAAAAACAGTTGTTTTTTCTTTCATTCCAACTTTCGGAGTAGCCACTAATGAACCGCGAGCAGTTTAATTTGTTCAGGCGCCCTCAAGTATCGCCTCAAAAACAAACAGAAACAAGGAACCGCTTGTCTGCGCCCACTCAATAACGCAGCAGGAGGATATGCTGCAGGCGCTCTGTTAGCGTTAAGACCTTGTGTTGCTGTGAGATCTATCCCATGGTGTCTGAGACAAGCACCAAACTGATGGGTTACATCTGTACATCGGCAAAGGGGGGCGCGGGCGCGAAAAATTTCTCAAACCCCCAGCGGCTGTTTCGAGAAGAGGGTATACTGTGATCGGCATCTCATACTGTACAGAACCCATGGGCTCTGGCAAAAAGCAAAATGTGGGCAGGATATGAGATCTTCAGCCCTGTCAAACGACGATGGCAGAGGCGAAGGCCCTCTTCCCTATCGCCTTGTAGCCAGGGATAGACCAGCCTTGCCTCTCATTGTAAACTTCCACCTGCGAAGCCACACAGAAGAAGGAAAGTAGTGAGGCTTGAATACATAGAAGAAACGATCAGTGATCCAGAGTAAACTGTCAGAAACCATACAGTTTCAATAGTTTCTCCATTGGATTCGGACCCGCCAATGAGGTACACATTGTCGTCCGCTGTGACTGCACACCCATATCCTCTTGGGACGCTGAACGGGCTGCCTATCCTCCACGAATTGGCACGAGGGTCAAAGATCTCCACAGTGGAAAGCATTTGGTCTCCATCGTACCCTCCCAGAGCATATCTGAAACATAGATTGATATGTTCACTTTAAGAAAAAATTATACTGCTGAGTATGTAGTTGTATGTTTAAGAGACGTCAAACTTATTAACATCAAATTGCCTGAGTGAATGAAAGAATTCAAAATTATACATCTAATTATATTGCTTAAGGTAATTTGTTGACATTTTAGGAACTTGATGATCACAGGGTCGAGAGAGAGAGGGAGAGGGGGGGCGGGGTGGGGGGGGGCTCACAGTGCCTCCCCCAGGACAGTAACAGAGTGGGATCCTCTTTTTGTCTTCATGCTTGCAAGCTGGGTCCAGAAACCTTCCCTTGGATCATACCTTTCTGCTGATCTGTGGGTATTAAAATCTTTCATTTATTATGCAGGTTTAAATGGTATAATCATGAAAAAATGTAGAGAATGCTGAGGGATCATTACTGTAAGTATGAGTCGTCACTGAAATCATAACCACCAACAACATAGAGGATGCCATTTAATTCGGCTGCAGCAGGAGCAAATCGCTGGAACAAACATAGCAGCGGAATGAATAACTGTTAGTTCTAACATCGACATAGTGGGAAAAATGCATGATGGAGTGGATTAATGTAGCACCCAAAAAGTGACGTGGAAATATCAAACATCTATCCTTACTTCTACACACCATATGTTGGCATCAATATCTCTCCAGAAAAAAAAACATTATGATCTATGCTAGTGCTAAAAGGATAGACTAGAGTAGATGCATAGAAACCTGTAATGCCAAAACAGATGTCTAACTTCTTTCCTATTGATCGTATGCAACTACAAGTAAACCATAATACAATAATGCCAGGAACTCCATCCTTTAAAGGATGAAGAATACACCAGATTTAAGTGATTAAGAACATCCAATATGCAGTTTTGAAGTTTTAAAACAGCCTCCTCCCTTCATAGCATTTCTTTTGTCTGCTCTAGCTTATAGAATCTAACCCTGATCACATATCACAAATAAGAATATGCCAATAATTTAAATTGCATATTAGGTTTAGAACATTTCACTGAATATAAGCGTTAGAGGGAGCATGAGACCATACACATTGTTGCATAGACGGGCTGTATATCCAACTCCCAAGTACTGGATCAACATCTCAACTTCTGAAAAAGATCTCGACTCATCGCCCCCACCAATAGCAAATATTTTACCATTCAATGTAGCTCCAGCAAGACTTCCTTTCTTCTGTTTCAAGCATGGGCATGCCATCCACTCATTGCTCACCCTGTTGTAGCATTCCACTGATAAAAGCAATGCAGATAGTCAAACAACTTGAACTTCTACAGAGATCTTTATTTGTCATGCCGAACAATGTTTACCTGTGGTATACCATGAATCGCCATCGCCGCCACCAATAACAAAGAGATGATCATTCAATGCAGCAACAGCAGCATATGAACGGGCTGAGCTCATTGGCCTCAGCGGCACTAGTCTATCTGCTGTAGGGTAAAAGGAATCGAGGGATGGCAACCAGGTGATGCCATTATGGCCACCTATTAGGAAAATTGATGGCCCTTCCAGAATATTGCGTGGTTCACCAAGAAGTGCTGCTGAATACTCCAACTGTAATTTCCCATATTGGTACTGCAGTTCCTGAATTTTTCTTTCCATGTCCTTTACAGTTGCCCTCAATACAAGTATTTCTTCATCTGACTCGGTCTGGAATGCACGAACACAATCAAGACAGAGGGAATGCATATCAAACATGCATGAGTAACATAATTAACTCAACATAATGTAAAGAGAATAAATATGGTTTCATATTTCCAATAAACATTTGAACATGAATTAAAATCACATAGTTACGGGCATGCCAAATAAGAACTTAAGACAATGAGGAAAGCAGCTCCATCTATTTATACTTTCTTCTCCAGCAGATGATGATTTGCACCCAAAAGTTCAAAGCAAACAAGTTAATACCTGCTTTTTCCCAATTGCTTCGGTCTTCTTGGATAATTCATTGATGATCTGAAGCAGCTGCATACAGTACCAGAAAGAGCATTAGATAAGTGTGTGCATACGGAATATTACAAACCATAATTTTGAAAATCTGGAGCATAATGTGAAAATAATTAAGGGCAACAGGTAATCAAGAAAACAGAATAGCATAGGGCACCTCATCATTTCCACAAAGTTGCTCAAAGGATGTGCTGTCTTTCACAGGTGCATCACCGCCCAAGGTGGCGTTTGATGGATCTTTGCCAAAAGCAGCACCCAGTGGTGATTCTTGAAGTCTGCTTCTACCTGAAGTATAATCAACAGCAACCTCCGAGGGTTGGGCCTTCTCCTGCCGTAAAAGAGACAGTTCTTGCAACTTCTGCAAAACATCCATTGGGTCATGCTGTTGACCATTCAATGGATTGATATGTGGATGGCCATCATTCACAGACTTTGTTCCTTTCTCAGTCACACCATCATCCAAATCATCCCACTCAGAAGGCTCTTCATCAAAGTTGCTCTTTGATGTTCTACTTGCACTGGCATGGTCAGCATTTCTATCAACTGAATATGCTGAACCGGCAAACTGTTCACCATCCGTTGAACCAGACTCAGTCGACACTACGCCACGAACAAGCTGTGCTCCTGTTGGAGATGGCAGAGGTCCAGAAAGACTGCATCTGTTTGGAGCAGCGTCAACAGGAGCACGAGGTACCGAAAAATTCCGCTCGTTTGGAACAGCACCAACAGGAGCAGGTACAAACAAAGAAACTAAGTCTCTTGTTTGTGCATGGTCTAGCTCAAAGTGGAAGTGGCGAAACTTGTGATAATTGCCACTAATCACGCCTTTGTATATGTTCTCTGGAAGTGGTAGGCACTGAGTTTTGATAGAGACGCGAACCTTCAGAACAAAAATCAAGTCACTCACACATCACAATCAGTTTACAAAACTATAACCAGCAAAATCATACATACAAACTGAAGTGACAGATACATTGAACACTAGTTGTTATATGCTGATACCTGTGCGGGATACTGTGTCTTTGTTCTACCATCATGACTCCAAGCAAATTGGTCAATGGTAAGCTGGCCAGGAGTGGCAGCTTCGAAAATGCCATGCAGTTTTCTGTCACTATAATTGAACAGAAACAGAGGCAGTCCAGGTTTAATATTCTTCACATAGGAGAAATGGCATGCAGGCAAACCTATCAAACACAAGGTAGAAAGACCATGCATTCGAAGTTAACGAGCAGTTCAACAAAGTACTGATGAGGAACAGGCTAATGTTCCGAAAATCAACCAAGATATGATGTCAGCAAGATATATTCACTGTAACGAAATTGCAAATGATACGAATCAAAAGAAATGTACTAACCAAATAGCTGTTTAGAGAGGCATTCGTTCATTGTTTTGTTGGTGCAGCCGAAAATAACTCCTGCTAGCGCATCTTCCCCAAGATTACGTGCAGGAAAAGATTGGTCACCATACCACCGAGTATTGCTTCGATCTTGTTTTGGTGCTGGGGCATTGTAGGTCTCTGCCTTCCGTCCAGTACCCATTCTTTGAAAAATTATCAACAATGCACAAAACATAACCATTAGTAAACCTGAAGGTGTACTGCGGCAACAAAATCATGTATAGATAAATTATCACACCGATCAGCACAAATTACTATAGTAAACACAAATCTGAAACTAGTGATCAAAAGAGTACTGACACAACCAACATCATATTATATCTGACAGCAAGATCGTACCAAAAAATAAAATAAAATCAAAAGTGGCTCCTAACATCATGACGTCCGTAAACCTGAGCTTGCCAGGTAAACCAGAACAATGGGAATGTAAAAGGCTGTAGTTGTGTTTCCGTCAAAAGATTTATGGTTCTATTTCTGATGCCAAACACCCACTGTTTGATAAAATTTCAAGAGCACCATACAAACGCTGCCTGCAGCAACTAAGAAATTCCACGAGATGTGCAATCGGAGCAACACCTAAAACAGCACCAGAAAATAGATTCACTGCATGAGCTCCACGGCAAAATTACAGTGAGCTACCTCGCAGTCGGCAATGCAACTGGAAGGGACACACAACAGTAGGAGTGTAGGACACCACACCTACATGCCATTTCCACATCAAAACTCGAGGATGTAAGTCCTGAAAGGCTCGCTACAGGAAATCCTCCAATTCAGAACTGCAAATTAGAACAAGTTATGCAACTAGCTCGAGTTGCTTCACAACATCCGCAGCAACAAAATAGCAACCCCAGAGTGGACGTGTTTCGACAGGATTCTGCCCCCCTACTTCCGTGAACTTTTTCCAATGAAATCCAACCGGTAAAATATCGTCCCCATAAACCCTGACTTCGTAGATCCCACACGGTTGCTAGGCGTCAAGCTAGGCGTCAAAAACATCAGCAATGGCAGCGACCAGTGTCGCAGCACGGGGAAACGCTGGAATGCCAAAAATATCCAAAGCCGTGCCCACGGCCACCCACCAGTTGCTTAGAAAACACCAAAAAATTCCACCGTTTCCCCGTAGAAAAATCAAACCGAATCGCCCCGCACCTGAACCATCAAGCGCACCTACCCTCAACCTGCTCCACTCGAAGCTCATATTCCGCGACCCCCAACTTCCGTACACCCGCAGCCGGCCCTAAGAACACCGAGCGGCCATGGCCGCATTGGCCGCCACCCGCTCCAAATCGACCCGCGACAACCGCACGCAGACCCCCAAGCGGGCCGCTCGCACCGCGAACAAAGCAGTAGTACTAAAACCCCACCAAAACCCGCGACGAAACGGGGGAAATACAGCACGAATCGCGCCCAAATCAGGGGACGGAGTCGGCAGGGAGGGAGGGATCGCTCACCTCGCTGTGGCGCTGCGAACCGCCGCCGCCGCCGCCGCCGCCGCCTCGTCTGATCGCCTCGCCCGGCGGCCGCCTCGGGCGACGGCGAGAGAACTAGGGAGCGAGCTTTGCGGGCGTGTGTTGCGCACTTGCGCCGCGCCTCTCCTGCGGGGCAAAGCAAAGCGAGGCCGCTTTTTGTGGGGCCGGACGAGGTGGAGCGACCGGTGGGACCGGCCCGCGCCCCTAGATTTCCGAGGACCCACCAACGCGAGAGCACGTCTGTGTCGAGCCTGTGTGTGACCCGTGAACAGGAGTGGCACCAGAAAGGTATTCAGTCTTTTTTAAAGTTGAAAAAGTTTTCACTCTTTTTTTTAGAATGAAAAAGTATTCACTCTTGATCATAGTGAAAGAGAATGATAATTTCCTTATACTGAAAAATAGATCGAATCGATTTGGCCTTGCCGGTGACGATCGGCAAATCTATGTGTGCGTGCCTTAAGGCATCGGTGTCTTGCAGTTGTAGTCATCATTATTGAGCATCTGAAATGTTGACATCAGATCTCGTCATCGTGAACGCACGACAAAAACCCTAACTTCATCGTTCCATGAAGACGACGGAATCTACGGAGTTCCATTGACTTAGTCCATGTGAATAATCACGACAAAGATCAAAGTTCGAAAGGCCAACTCGAAAAAGAAGCAATGTCATATGTTTAAATGACGCCTTCACAAAGGCTAAAAAAAAATCAATCAACTGCTAGTTGAAGCAACACATGCAGAATGCCCTCTCCATGACCGACCACTGGACCGGTAGGGGCAGGTAGAATAAGGACGAACTCAACCGTCTCTTAGAGCATCTACTGTCGGATTTGGCAAATCCGGCCCCATATACGCACGTGGGCACGTCCGCGGACAGGGCCCGCCGGCCCCTCATATGTTGCTTCTCACATTCATATACATCAAATGTCGATCCTCAAATCCATGTCCATGCAAATCGATCATATGATACAAATTGTCCGCAGTTCGAGACAAAAGCAAGAGCAAATAATAGTTCAACAAACCAGACATGCGAAAATGAAATCAATGTCTGAGGGTGATGGATGGCTTTGGATCACTGGCCGGGCTCCTGCTCCGAGCGAAATGCGTCCTGCTCCAGGCGGAATGCGTCCTGCTCGTCCAGCATCGCCTGCATCCGGGTTGCCTGCTCCGCCTGCACTCGGGTTGCCTCCTCCGCCTGCATCCGGCCCGCATGATCCGCTGCCGCCCTCGCCGCCTCGAACTCCCTACGGTCGATGATCTCCTTCTTCTTTTCTGCAAGCCACTTCTTTGCATACTCATCCAAGAGGGTTTCGTCCGCCAACATGATCTTCGCATCCTCCGCGTCCCGTGCGAGTTGCAACTTCTCCTTCTCAAGCTCTATCTCGCCCAATGTCTTGGCCTTGTCGAGTTCTCATTTAATCACTGCCTCTTGCTTCTCCAAGTCGATCTTCTCCCTGTCAATTTCGAGTTTCTTTTCCGCCCTCTTCCGGTCCCACTCCATCCTCTCCTTTGGTGCATCCAACATGGGCTTGTACCTCTCCTCCTTGTTCTCCCTTACTGAAAAATGCATGTCCATGTGAACGACATTTTTGTAGTCGCGGCGCCACGGGAGGCTTGTGCCTTGTCCCACTTGTATTCCATGACTTGGCGGTTATCCTTTGGCACGGTGGCTCTTCCATTCATGACGACAACATCGTCCTCTTCATCGTCCAACCCAATTGATTGGTGGAAGTTTCAGCCATCATTCCTCTTCTTGCGGGACTTGAGATTGGTCACAAGTTGGTTCCACTTCGGCTTGCCTCTCAATATGATCCAACAATGGCTAAATGCAAATGTCTTCTTCTCCACCCCGTGATACAAAGTGGCCGCCATCGCCGTCTAGCAAACAACATATGTATAAACATGAGAATGCAAATACAAGAAGCATATGCAAAAAAATGACAACAAGGTGAAGCAATTGAGGTTACATGAGTTGCCACTCCCATCCCACTTTGAGGGTGTTTGGTCACTTGTGAGTAGTAGCCGACGTACTTGACTTCCCCTTGAATGATCCCCCACCGATGTTGGAGATGCCACATTGTGGGTGGTCATGATAGGATGCGGCTCCACATACTCCTTTTGTTCATGATACTCCTTCCAAATTTTCTCCCCAATATTTGTTCCCCTTTTACTCGATGCCGCATATTGGATCCATTGTTGTGGCCAACCAAATTTTGACCAACAAGATGTCCTCAAATATCGAGAATGCCGGATCTCTTGCCTTCGCCGTCTTGACCTTCTTTTTCTTCTTGCTCGGGTTGGGATCAGATGTTGTCCCAATTTCAAATGTGGTGGTGCCCTCCAATTCATACTCCATTTCAGTCGATTCTTCATTGTCATTGATCATGTTCGACAAGAACGCCTCCTGCATGATAATGGTTTGTGAGAATTCATCATGTGCGAAATGAACTAGTGGTCTATGAAAAAATTTGATCGGACATGAGCAAAAAATGCATACCGACTCTTGTTCTGTTATTCCATCGAACATGTCGAAGCAACCCGGGCAACGTCGGTGCCCATGCTCATCCGCATGCCGAACGAGCTGCGGTGAGTCACATACGTCGACCGCCGACATCTGCATGGGCGGAAAGCTCTCCGGAATGGCCCAGCCAGTCGTCGAATCCTCCTATGTCCCAACGGGGTCGGACGGGGTAATCTGTGTCGGCACTAGGATGAAAGGGGCGCGTGCTTCCTGGCACGGCAGGGGAAACAACTACTTCACCATGTCTGAACCTCCCTGCGTCGCCATTGCCGCCTCCCTCTCTCACTGTTGGTGTCGCTGCAACTTCCGGCGACGTTCTCCGCCTTGCAAGACAGAACCGGCGAAGTGACACCGACGGACGAGGTGGATCGCGTCTCCGTCGCGGCGGTCGGGGACAAGCTAGACGACATCTCGGGCAGTGGACCAGGACCGGTGGCGAGGATGGGGAACAAGGGTGAAGGATGGCGAGTGCTCTGCCACGGGAAACCTTGGAGGGCGGCGGGAGGAGGAGGAAGGGTTTGGTGGATTTGTTGCAATTTGCGGTAGGGTCGAGCTGTCGGGTCCGATATGGCGGGCGTGCCCAGGCGGCCCATATTTAGGCTGGATATGAAGGATGCCGGTTAGTCGAGGCATTTGAAGCCCGTTTAAGAAACTCGTTTGGGTCAAATTTTCGTGAGCGATCAATGACCGGGCGACCCGTCCTGACGTATGAGACGGATTTGAGGCGCCGGGCTATGTATGATCTTACATTTTTTTTATAAAGGGCATTTTTATTGACTCAAAATGTAGTATCAAGCGGATACAAAATATAATGAGCATCATCCGACCTCTGCATAACTAAGATGCACACAGCCAAACAAAAACAAAATGAAAGAAGATAAAAAAGCGACATATCAGCAACAATAGGATCATACAGGACCGACAGTCCACCTATGATGAAGGAGTTGGTGCGGCTATCCGTAGATTATGCTGCCACCCATGCTGGGCGAAGACCTCCCTGCCCACCGGCTCCAACCGCGTACACATTGCCTTGAATAACGGTTGATACTCCGTTCGATGTAGTGTAGACCATGTACAAAGCGAGTGTGTACAACGGAAAATAACCTGCAAAGGAGAGGTGTTTTTGCCCTCGAAAACCAAATCATTTCTACATAGCCAGAGTGCCCATAATAAAGCATATGCTCCCACCCG